AAGTGCCACCATGTGGATGAGGATCGCCGTGGAGAGGTCCCAGAAACCGCGTTCAGACAATTGGCCATATTTATGGCCTGCCTATATTGCGGCCCCTGGCAAAACCAGGGTGGGGCTTCAAATTTCAAAAAATTTCGTCCTGAAAAGGACGAAACTAGAAGTTCTTAAATACAATACGGGGTCGGGCTCCCAAGGGAGAACACTCATACTATAAAACCTAGAGAGCAATGTCCAGTTTTGACAGAGAGGATGTCGTTTCTCGAGAAAGTGTCCAGTTTTTGTAGTACAGGCCATCACTTAGAGAGAGAGAGAGAGAGAGAGAGAGAGAGAGAGAGAGAGAGAGAGAGAGAGAGAGAGAGAGAGAGAGAGAGAGAGAGAGAGAGAGAGAGAGAGAGAGAGAGAGAGAGAGAGAGAGAGAGAGAGAGAGAGAGAGAAAAGAGAGAGAGAGAGAGAGAGAGAGAGAGAGAGAGAGAGAGAGAGAGAGAGAGAGAGAGAGAGAGAGAGAGAGAGAGAGAGTGGCCTTGCCTACTAAACCTAAACCAGCTCCTGACAGACCTAAACTGATCTTAAATTATCATCCCAATAATTTGGCTGTGTCTAGAATCCTCAGTCATCACCTTAAAATTCCTCGCTCCGATCCTGATACAAGTGAGATAATTAGTGACAAGCCTAGAGTGGTCTACAGGCGAGATAATTAGTGACAAGCCTAGAGTGGTGTACAGGTGAGATAATTAGTGACAAGCCTAGAGTGGTGTACAGGTGAGATAATTAGTGACAAGCCTAGAGTGGTCTACAGGCAAGATAATTAGTGACAAGCCTAGAGTGGTCTACAGGTGAGATAATTAGTGACAAGCCTAGAGTGGTCTACAGGTGAGATAATTAGTGACAAGCCTAGAGTGGTCTACAGGTGAGATAATTAGTGACAAGCCTAGAGTGGTCTACATGTGAGATAATTAGTGACAAGCCTAGAGTGGTCTACAGGCGAGATAATTAGTGACAAGCCTAGAGTGGTCTACAAGTGAGATAATTAGTGACAAGCCTAGAGTGGTCTACAGGTGAGATAATTAGTGACAAGCCTAGAGTGGTCTACAGGCGAGACCTTCATTTGAAGAACATACTTGTCACAAGCATACTGTATCTGATCCAGACAGCAATTCCTTTTGCTACTTTCAAATGCTCCCGTACAAGATGTAAAACGTGTCCATTTATGATCCAAACCCCTTTCACATTAGAGAAGCATTCAATTGTATAATTCTGTGATATATCCAGTTTTGTGAGAAGGGTGTCCAGTTTTTTTAGCAGATGTCTAGTTGTATGACACTGCACGACCCTGCGGAATGAACGAGCCAAGACTTACTAAAGATATGTTTGTACAGAAAATATGTCACTTGAGATGTTCTAGTTGATTTGACCTTAGACAACTACCCGTCTGGTCTCATCACACTCACTAGTCACGTGAACATGATATTGTTCAATTGATTTGACTATATCAGCTTTATAGTTGAAATTATAAATACAACATTCCTAGGCTATTTTAAAATGAAGGAGTACAAGCGAGTACCAGTATATGAGAATATGTAGGGTATACATTAAAAGCAGGCCATGTTTTCACACATATATATCTTTTTATTGACCAACCACTGATCTGCACATATAAAACAGTGAACAAATGATAAGTGAATATGGCTTGTAGACACTGTGCCCACACATAAACCCTCACACTTTCTCATTGGGAAATCCCTGTGTCCAAACCTAAACCCTCACATTTTCTCATGTCAGACTCCTTGTGTCCACATCTAAACCCCCACACTTTCTCATGGTGGACTCCTTGTGTTCACATCTAAACCCTCACATTTTCTCATGGTGGACTCCTTGTGTTCACATCTAAACCCTCACATTTTCTCATGGTGGACTCCTTGTGTTCACATCTAAACCCACACACTTTCTCATGGTGGACTCCTTGTGTTCACATCTAAACCCTCACATTTTCTCATGGTGGACTCCTTGTGTTCACATCTAAACCCACACACTTTCTCATGGTGGACTCCTTGTGTTCACATCTAAACCCTCACACTTTCTCCTGGGGGACTCCTTGTGTTCACATCTAAACCCTCACACTTTCTCCTGGGGTACTCCTTGTGTTCACATCTAAACCCCCACACTTTCTCATGGTGGACTCCTTGTGTTCACATCTAAACCCCCACATTTTCTCATGGTGGACTCCTTGTGTTCACATCTAAACCCTCACACTTTCTCATTGGGAAATCCCTGTGTCCAAACCTAAACCCTCACATTTTCTCATGTCAGACTCCTTGTGTCCACATCTAAACCCCCACACTTTCTCATGGTGGACTCCTTGTGTTCACATCTAAACCCTCACATTTTCTCATGGTGGACTCCTTGTGTTCACATCTAAACCCACACACTTTCTCATGGTGGACTCCTTGTGTTCACATCTAAACCCTCACACTTTCTCCTGGGGGACTCCTTGTGTTCACATCTAAACCCTCACACTTTCTCCTGGTGGACTCCTTGTGTTCACATCTAAACCCTCACACTTTCTCCTGGGGGACTCCTTGTGTTCACATCTAAACCCTCACACTTTCTCCTGGGGGACTCCTTGTGTTCACATCTAAACCCTCACATTTTCTCATGTCAGACTCCTTGTGTCCACACCTAAACCCTCACATTTTCTCATGTCAGACTCCTTGTGTTCACATCTAAACCCCCACACTTTCTCATGGTGGACTCCTTGTGTCCACATCTAAACCCTCACATTTTCTCGCAGGGGACTCCTTTTGTTCACATCTAAACCCTCATACTTTCTCCCGGGGGACTCCTTGTGTCCACATCTAAACCCTCACACTTTCTCACGGGGGACTCCTTTTGTTCACATCTAAACCCTCACACTTTCTCCCAGGGGACTCCTTGTTTTCACATCTAAACCCCACACTTTCTCCTGGGGGACTCCTTGTGTTCACATCTAAACCCTCACACTTTCTCCCGGGGGACTCCTTGTGTCCATATCTAAACCCTCACACTTTCTCCTGGGGGACTCCTTGTGTCCACATCTAAACTCTCACACTTTCTTCCGGGGGACTCCTTGTGTCCACAGCTAAACCCTCACACTTTCTCACGTGGACTCCTTGTGTCCACATCTAAACCCTCACACTATTCACATGGGCTCCTTTCTTGTATCCACATATTAAGTTTTCTCGTGAGGATCTTTTTGTTTTGTGGATACTTTTCTGTTGTGGATGTTGGTGGTAAACAAGAAACTAGTGTGTTTCCCTGTCCTGAGTACCTCAGTTCAGTGCTATCTTACACTTGTTCATTCCTGGCAACAATTAACTGACCCGACCTATCCGGTCATGAACACTCAGGGTAGCTGGCAGGTCTGTCTTGCAAAGACCCTGTTACTTGAGAACTGAACTTGACAGTTCCTTGTTTGCCTTCTTTTACTGGCTACTCTCCCTTGGTGTCTGACCTTGTGTTTGGCTGGACCCACCTGATTCCCCCTGCCCCCAGCTACACTTGACCCCCACTTGGTCTTGTCTTCACCCTGGCAGTGCATATGATTTGTCATAATTTATCTTTGGTTTGCTTAATGCAGCTTTTCATATTAACCCAGCTGTACAAATAAATGTTCCCAGATCCCTGTAGTACATCCATGTAGTACACCAATTTAGCATACCTATGCAACACATCCATGCAACACAACCATGTAGCACATCCATGCAACACAACCATGTAGCATATCCATGCAACACAACCATGTAGCATATCCATGTAACACCTCAATGCAGCACATCCATGTAACACACCCATGTAGCCCAACCATGTAGCACATCAATGTAGCAAAACCATGTAGCACATCCATGTAACACCTCAATGTAGCACATCCATGTAACACACCCATGTAGCACAACCATGTAGCATACCCATGCAACACACCCATGTAGCACATCCACATAACATCTCAATGTAGCACAACCATGTAGCGCATCACTGCAGCACATCCCTGTATCACATCTATGTAGATTATTTACTTTAATCATCTAGTAATGCCCCTGTGTGGGTTCCGGGGCCCCATTGTGGGTTCCGGGGCCCCATTGTGGGGAAAACAAGAATAGACCCACTGCCTCCCTAAAAGCATGTCGTATGGGTCGACTAATTGGGGAGCTTCCTTTGAAGTCGGAGTGCATCTGCCGGAGAGGCAAGGAACCAACAGTCTGTATTCAAGAGAATGAGATCTGTAAAACTGATGCACACGCAACACTCAGGTTCTGAAGCAGGACTGCAGTTCAGTAATGGACGAGCAACCAAAACTTTCCGCCAGAGTGTACAGCTGGTGAACGCCAAGAAGAAGAAGATCTAGTAATTGACAAAGACATAGTGGTCGATGACCAGCTGGCAAATCTTCACTTTTAGAGCGAGAAACTGTAGCCAACTTGTAATGTCTTGATAGCAAGCTCTGTGAGGCCCTGAAAGAAACTGTAGCCAACTTGTAATGTCTTGATAGCAAGCTCTGTGAGGCCCTGAAAGAAACTGTAGCCAACTTGTAATGTCTTGATAGCAAGCTCCGTGTGGCCCTGAAAGAAACTGTAGCCAACTTGTAATTTTTTGATAGCAAGCTCTGTGAGGGCCCTGAAAGAAACTGTACCCAACTTGTAATGTCTTGATAGCAAGCTCCGTGTGGCCCTGAAAGAAACTGTAGCCAACTTGTAATGTCTTGATAGCAAGCCCTGTGAGGCCCTGAAAGAAACTGTAGCCAACTTGTAATGTCTTGATAGCAAGCCAGGAAGATGGTGATGGGGGCTACACCTTGACATGTTTACCATACTTGACCATTTTCTTGAACCCTGTCAGTCAAACAGCTCACTTGTATGTGTGCATGAAACACTCAGTTTCCCTCCTACATGTGCAGGTATCTCTAGACATGTACATTCTATGCCTCCTCTAGACTGCGACATTCAACAAGGTCACAAATCAAGCCGATTCTAAAGGTTGTTGACTGGCAGTTGATACAGTTCAGATTTCAAATGTCCGTCTGGGATTGGGAAGTCAAAGACTATTGGCCGGTTGTCAGGTTTGTATCGCAGAGTGCAGTTGGAGCCGTTGATAAAGGTTGTCTGGCCATCAGTGGTTACCCCGTAATCTGTGGAGATTATTAAAGCAAAAGTAACAATCTCACAATCAGTTACAAAGGGTAATCAGCAGCACAGGAAACTAGGCTGCCTTTATGTTCTCTCATATGAGCCAAGGCAGCGGCTGTGGCTTAGGCGTTGCCAGTCCGACTCATAATTCCAATGTACCGTGATCAAAACCCACTGCTGGCTGGGTGGACTTTTATCATGGTACAGGGCATCACGGGTTGACCCAACCTAAAATGGGTACCAGGATGACTGTCCTGGGGAAGTAAAGACGGCTGGTGTAATACTGACCACATTACCCACCCAGAGCAGATTGGTCTGTAAAAATATGACAGTGATGTAATGACATAATCAAGACAGTGATGTAATTACATAATCAAGACAGTGATGTAACGACATGATCAAGACAGTGATTTTTATGATGGCAGTGATTTAATTACATAATGCAGTGAGTAATGTAATGACATAATGTAGGCAGTGATGTATGACATAATGCAGGAAGTGATGTAATGATATAATGCATTATCTTGAAATCCCAGGTCTGCCAGCTGCCTACTGCTGGCTTCTAAAGACACCCATGTACCAATCTCTAAACCCATGTACCAATCTCTACACCCATGTACCAATCTCTACACCCATATACCAATCTCAACACCCATGTACCAATCTCGACACCCATATACCAATCTCGACACCCATATACCAATCTCGACACCCATATACCAATCTCGACACCCATATACCAATCTCGACACCCATGTACCAATCTCGACACCCATGCACCAATCTCGACACCCATGCACCAATCTCGACACCCATGTACTAATCTCGACACACATGTACCAATCTCGACACACACATGTACCAATCTCGACACCCATATACCAATCTCAACACCCATGTACCAATCTCGACACCCATATACCAATCTCAACACCCATGTACCAATCTCGACACCCATGTACCAATCTCTACACCCATATACCAATCTCGACACCCATATACCAATCTCGACACCCATGTACCAATCTCGACACACATGTACCAATCTCGACACACATGTACCAATCTCGACACCCATGTACCAATCTCGACACCCATATACCAATCTCAACACCCATGTACCAATCTCGACACACATATACCAATCTCGACACCCATGTACCAATCTCGACACACATGTACCAATCTCGACACACATGTACCAATCTCGACACACATGTACCAATCTTGACACCCATGTACCAATCTCGACACCCATATACCAATCTCAACACCCATGTACCAATCTCGACACACATATACCAATCTCGACACCCATGTACCAATCTCGACACACATGTACCAATCTCGACACACATGTACCAATCTCGACACACATGTACCAATCTCGACACACATGTACCAATCTCGACACCCATGTACCAATCTCGACACCCATAAACCAATCTCAACACCCATGTACCAATCTCGACACACATATACCAATCTCGACACCCATGTACCAATCTCGACACACATGTACCAATCTCGACACACATGTACCAATCTCTAAACCCATGTACCAATCTCAACACCCATGTACCAATCTCGACACCCATATACCAATCTCGACACCCATATACCAATTTCGACACCCATATACCAATCTCGACACCCATATACCAATCTCGACACCCATGTACCAATCTCGACACCCATGCACCAATCTCGACACCCATGCACCAATCTCGATACCCATGTACTAATCTCGACACACATGTACCAATCTCGACACCCATATACCAATCTCAACACCCATGTACCAATCTCGACACCCATATACCAATCTCGACACCCATATACCAATCTCGACACACATATACCAATCTCGACACCCATATACCAATCTCGACACCCATATACCAATCTCGACACCCATATACCAATCTCGACACCCATATACCAATCTCGACACCCATATACCAGTCTTGACACCCATATACCAATCTTGACACCCATATACCAATCTCGACACCCATGCACCAATCTCTACACCCATGTACCAATCTCGACACCCATATACCAATCTCGACACACATGTACCAATCTCGACACGCATGTACCAACCTTGACACATATGTACCAACCTTGACACATATGTACCAACCTTGACACATATGTACCAACCTTGACACATATGTACCAACCTTGACACATATGTACCAACCTTGACACATATGTACCAACCTTGACACTCATGTACCAATGTTAACACATCATTGGCACCTTTCCGTCTTTCCAGGCGATATTGTTAAACTGCACTATGAGAAAGCATGGGACATCCTGGTGTTGGCCTTCTGCCTACGAGCATTGTAAAGGCCGCTGTCAGACCGAGAATTGATGAATATACCAACCCCCTGATCTCAAAATGTTTGTTCTAAAAGAAGTGAGGAGTATATTCCAATGAGGGTAGGAGCAATTACATATCCCTGCTTCACTCCATGTTTGATTACAAAATCCTCCGATGTTACACCATCAGGATTGATTGTACCTTTCATACCTGCGTGGAATGACTCAATAATGCTCAATAGAGTAGGTGGACACCCAGTCTTCTTCAGCCTGTTGAACAGATCTTTTTGACTAACCAAATCAAACACTAACTGACAAGGACTTATAACCCGTAACTGCTGCCTTTATATTTGTTTCTGAGACCAATTAGGGCCAGGGATAAAATTCCCCCTCTCCATAGCATAAAGTCTGGGCAGTATTGTAGAGTCCATGTGTTGTCTATGTCTCTCCATAGCATAAAGCCTGGGCAGTATTGTAGAGATCATATATTGTCTATGTCTCTCCATAGCATAAAGCCTGGGCAGTATTGTAGAGATCATATGTTGTCTATGTCTCTCCATAGCATAAAGCCTGGGCAGTATTGTAGAGATCATATATTGTCTATGTCTCTCCATAGCATAAAGCCTGGGCAGTATTGTAGAGACCATATGTTGTCTATGTCTCTCCATAGCATAAAGCCTGGGCAGTATTGTAGAGATCATATGTTGTCTATGTCTCTCCATATCATAAAGCCTGGGCAGTATTGTAGAGACCATATGTTGTCTATGTCTCTCCATAGCACAAAGCCTGGGCAGTATTGTAGAGATCATATGTTGTCTATGTCTCTCCATAGCACAAAGCCTGGGCAGTATTGTAGAGATCATATGTTGTCTATGTCTCTCCATATCATAAAGCCTGGACAGTATAGTAGAGATCATATGTTGTCTATGTCTCTCCATAGCATAAAGCCTGGGCAGTATTGTAGAGACCATATGTTGTCTATGTCTCTCCATAGCATAAAGCCTGGGCAGTATTTTAGAGACCATGTGTTGTCTATGTCTCTCCATAGCATAAAGCCTGGGCAGTATTGTATAGACCATATGTTGTCTATGTCTCTCCATAGCATAAAGCCTGGGCAGTATTGTAGAGTCCATGTGTTGTTTATGTCTCTCCATAGCACAAAGCCTGACCAGTATTGTAGAGTCCATGTGTTGTCTATGTCTCTTTATAGCACAAAGCCTGACCAGTATTGTAGAGACCATGTGTTGTCTATGTCTCTCCATAGCATAAAGCCTGGGCAGTACTGTAAAGACCATGTGTTGTCTATGTCTCTCCATAGCACAAAGCCTTGGCAGTACTGTATAGACCATGATGTTGTCTATGTCTCTCCATAGCACAAAGCCTGGGCAGTATTGTAGAGACCATGTGTTGTCTGTGTCTCTCCATAGCACAAAACCCGGCCAGTATTGTAGAGTCCATGTGTTGTCTATGTCTCTCCATAGCACAAAGCCTGGGCAGTATTGTAGAGTCCATGTGTTGTCTATGTCTCTCCATAGCACAAAGCCTGGGCAGTATTGTAGAGTCCATGTGTTGTCTATGTCTCTCCATAGCATAAAGCCTGGGCAGTATTGTAGAGTCCATGTGTTGTCTATGTCTCTCCATAGCACAAAGCCTGACCAGTATTGTAGAGTCCATGTGTTGTCTATGTCTCTCCATAGCACAAAGCCTGGGCAGTACTGTAGAGTCCATGTGTAGAGTCCATGTGTTGTCTATGTCTCTCCATAGCACAAAGCCTGGGCAGTACTGTAGAGTCCATGTGTTGTCTATGTCTCTCCATAGCACAAAGCCTGGGCAGTACTGTATAGACCATGATGTTGTCTATGTCTCTCCATAGCACAAAGCCTGGGCAGTACTGTAGAGTCCATGTGTTGTCTATGTCTCTCCATAGCACAAAGCCTGGGCAGTACTGTATAGACCATGATGTTGTCTATGTCTCTCCATAGCACAAAGCCCGGCCAGTATTGTAGAGACCATGCGTTGTCTATGTCTCTCCATAGCATAAAGCCTGGGCAGTATTGTATAGACCATGTGTTGTCTATGTCTCTCCATAGCATAAAGCCTGGGCAGTATTGTAGAGTCCATGTGTTGTCTATGTCTCTCCATAGCATAAAGCCTGGGCAGTATTGTATAGACCATATGTTGTCTATGTCTCTCCATAGCACAAAGCCTGGGCAGTATTGTAGAGACCATGTGTTGTCTATGTCTCTCCATAGCATAAAGCCTGGGCAGTACTGTATAGACTATGTGTTGTCTATGTCTCTCCATAGCATAAAGCCTGGGCAGTACTGTATAGACCATGTGTTGTCTATGTCTCTCCATAGCAAAAAGCCTGGGCAGTACTGTAGAGACCATATGTTGTCTATGTCTCTCCATAGCACAAAGCCTGGGCAGTATTGTAGAGTCCATGTGTTGTCTATGTCTCTCCATAGCATAAAGCCTGGGCAGTATTGTATAGACCATATGTTGTCTATGTCTCTCCATAGCACAAAGCCTAGGCAGTATTGTAGAGACCATGTGTTGTCTATGTCTCTCCATAGCATAAAGTCTGGGCAGTACTGTATAGACCATGTGTTGTCTATGTCTCTCCATAGCATAAAGCCTGGGCAGTACTGTATAGACCATGTGTTGTCTATGTCTCTCCATAGCAAAAAGCCTGGGCAGTACTGTAGAGACCATATGTTGTCTATGTCTCTCCATAGCACAAAGCCTGGGCAGTATTGTAGAGTCCATGTCTCTCCATAGCATAAAGCCTGGGCAGTATTGTATAGACCATATGTTGTCTATGTCTCTCCATAGCACAAAGCCTGGGCAGTATTGTAGAGACCATGTGTTGTCTATGTCTCTCCATAGCATAAAGCCTGGGCAGTACTGTATAGACCATGTGTTGTCTATGTCTCTCCATAGCATAAAGCCTGGGCAGTACTGTATAGACCATGTGTTGTCTATGTCTCTCCATAGCACAAAGCCTGGGCAGTATTGTATAGACCATGTGTTGTCTATGTCTCTCCATAGCACAAAGCCTGGGCAGTACTGTAGACCATGTGTTGCCCATGCATCATGATCACTCCCTCGACCTGCCTTGTTTATTCCAAAGAAAGGTAACACCAGTAAATGTGGAACAAAGCAGGCTGCACAAGCTTCCAGATCAAAAGAGCAGTGCTTTATCTGTCCACCTGTCAGAGCTTCCCCCACCCCCCAGACCAGCTGCCAGGCAAGGCTAAGGGCCTGGTCTGCCCTGCCAAAACAAAGTTTTCAGGTTGCATTTCCTTTAATTAGGATGAGGCTTGTATCCTCCCCAATGCGCTCCTCCGCCCAAAGCCGCTGGCACAGTGTGGGATGTCAGGTTTGGTATATGCTGCCAAACATTTGGCGTAACAGAAGACAGGTGGTACCTGCTACTGTTATACGGATGCACCAATGTTAACACACATGTATTATTTTTGACAGACATGTACCAACCTTGACACACATGTACCAACCTTGGCACACATGTACCAACCTTGACACCCATGTACAAACCTAGACACCCATATACTAAAACTCACACACATGTACCAAACTTGACACGAACGTACCAACCTGGACACACATATACCAACCTGGACACCCATGTACCAACCTTGACACTCATGTACCAACCCTGACAAACATTTACCAACCTTGACACACATGTACCAACCTTGAGACCCATGTACAAACCTAGACACCCATATGCTAAAACTCACACACATGTACCAAACTTGACACGAACGTACCAACCTGGACACACATGTACCAACCTGGACACCCATGTACCAACCTTGACACTCATGTACCAACCCTGACACACAAGTACCAACCTTGACACACATGTACCAACCCTGACACACATGTACCAACCTTGACACACATGTACCAACCTTGACACACATGTACCAACCTTGACAAACATGTACCAACCCTGACACACACATGTACCAACCTTGACACACATGTACCAACCCTGACACACACATGTACCAACCCTGACACACACATGTACCAACCCTGACACAAATGTACCAACCTTGACAAACATGTACCAACCTTGACACACATGTACCAACCTTGAAACACAAGTACCAACCCTGACACACATGTACCAACCTTGACAGACATGTAACAATCTTGACACACATGTACCAAACTTTACACGAACGTACCAACCTGGACACACATGTACCAACTTGACACACATGTGACAACCTTGACACACATGTACCAACCTTGAAAAACATGTACCAACCCTGACACCCATGTAACAACCTTGACACCCATGTACCAACCCTGACACCCATGTACCAACCCTGACACCCATGTACCAACCCTGACACCCATGTACCAACCCTGACACCCATGTACCAACCCTGACACCCATGTACCAACCCTGACACCCATGTACCAACCTTGACACCCATGTACCAACCCTGACACACACATGTACCATGTTGACACACATGTAACATGTTGACACACAGGAACTCACCTTCATGAATGTGCCCAAACAAGTGGTACTGTGGTCTGACACGGTGCTGTATGGTGTGCAGAAGTTCCACACAGCCAGCCCTGACATTGTTACGGCACAGGTCCCCATAGCCTGTGGGCAACAAGACCAATGTCCACTTGAGGAAGAGCCCAAGAAGTTACACAATGGTTATCTCTTCAATATATTTGGTCCCTACCTCGAGCCGGTCATTCTGAGCTATGTCCACCTTCCCTCTTTTCCCCCTAGAGGTACAACATTGTCCCGTGTAGTGTCTTTTCTCCTCTACCTTGGACTAGCTGTACCCTACTGTCACTATCAGACTGTCACTGTCAGAAATTAACACAGACTGTCACTGTCAGAAATTAACACAGACTGTCACTGTCAGAAATAACACAGACTGTCACTGTCAGAAATTAACACACACTGTCACTGTCAGAAATTAATACAGACTGACACTGTCAGAAATTAACACACACTGTCACTGTCAGAAATTAACACAGACTGTCACTGTCAGAAATTAACACACACTATCATGGTCAGTTTCTGGAAGGTGAGCTGCATGTAACTAGAGCCATTCAGCAGACACCAAGATACAGTGACAGACAACTGCCTTCATGTGTACAGCAATATGTCATGGGTACAGCAGTGTGTCATGGATACAGCAGTGTGTCATGTGTACAGGAATGTGTCATGGGTACAGAAATGTGTCATGGGTACAGCAATGTGTCATGTGTACAGGAATGTGTCATGGGTACAGAAATGTGTCATGGGTACAGCAATGTGTCATGTGTACAGCAATGTGTCATGTGTACAGCAGTGGGTCATGGATACAGCAGTGTGTCATGTGTACAGGAATGTGTCATGGGTACAGAAATGTGTCATGGGTACAGCAATGTGTCATGGGTACAGCAATGTGTCATGTGTACAGCAATGTGTCATGTGTACAGCAGTGGGTCATGGATACAGCAGTGTGTCATGGGTACAGCAGTGTGTCATGTGTACAGGAATGTGTCATGGGTACAGAGATGTGTCATGGGTACAGCAGTGTGTCATGGGTACAGCAATGTGTCATGGGTACAGAAATGTGTCATGGGTACAGAAATGTGTTATGTTTACAGGAGTGTTTCAAGTGTACAAGAGTGTCATGTGTACAGACGTGTCATGTGCACAGGAGTGTGTCAAGTGTACAGGAGGGTGTCATGTGTAAAGACATGTGTCATGTGTATAGGAGTGTGTCAAGTGTACAGATGTGTGTCATGGGTACAGGAGTGTCAAGTGTACAGGAGTGTGTCATGTGTACAGGAGTGTGTCATGTGTACAGGAGCGTGTCAAGTGTACAGCAGTGTGCCATGTGTACAAGAGTATGTCATGTGTACAGGAGTATGTCATGTGTACAAATGTGTCATGTGTACAAGAGTGTTTCAAGTGTACAGGAATGTGTTATGTTTACAGGAGTGTGTCAAGTGTACAAAAGTGTGTCACGTGAACAAGAGTGTATCTTTGTACAGAAATGTCCTATGTTTACAGGACTGCGTCATGTGTAGCTGTAACACATGTACAGACACTGGGAGTCCTACTCACCAACAGGTAAGCTGTGTGTAGCTGTAACTCATGTACAGACACTGGAAGTCCTACTCACCAACAGGTAAGCTGTGTTTAGCTGTAACACATGTACAGACACTGGGAGTCCTACTCACCAACAGGTAAGCTGTGTGTAGCTGTAACACATGTACAGACACTGGGAGTCCTACTCACCAACAGGTAAGCTGTGTGTAGCTGTAATTCATGTACAGACACTGGGAGTCCTACTCACCAACAGGTAAGCTGTGTGTAGCTGTAACTCATGTACAGACACTGGGAGTCCTACTCACCAACAGGTAAGCTGTGTGTAGCTGTAACTCATGTACAGACACTGGAAGTCCTACTCACCAACAGGTAAGCTGTGTTTAGCTGTAACACATGTACAGACACTGGGAGTCCTACTCACCAACAGGTAAGCTGTGTGTAGCTGTAACACATGTACAGACACTGGGAGTCCTACTCACCAACAGGTAAGCTGTGTGTAGCTGTAACTCATGTACAGACACTGGAAGTCCTACTCACCAACAGGTAAGCTGTGTGTAGCTGTAACTCATGTACAGACACTGGGAGTCCTACTCACCAACAGGTAAGCTGTGTGTAGCTGTAACTCATGTACAGACACTGGGAGTCCTACTCACCAACAGGTAAGCTGTGTGTAGCTGTAACTCATGTACAGACACTGGGAGTCCTACTCACCAACAGGTAAGCTGTGTGTAGCTGTAACTCATGTACAGACACTGGGAGTCCTACTCATCAACAGGTAAGCTGTGTGTAGCTGTAACTCATGTACAGACACTGGGAGTCCTACTCACCAACAGGTAAGCTGTGTGTAGCTGTAACTCATGTACAGACACTGGGAGTCCTACTCACCAACAGGTAAGCTGTGTGTAGCTGTAACTCATGTACAGACACTGGGAGTCCTACTCACCAACAGGTAAGCTGTGTGTAGCTGTAACTCATGTACAGACACTGGGAGTCCTACTCACCAACAGGTAAGCTGTGTGTAGCTGTAACTCATGTACAGATACTGGGAGTCCTACTCACCAACAGGTAAGCTGTGTGTAGCTGTAACTCATGTACAGACACTGGGAGTCCTACTCACCAACAGGTAAGCTGTGTGTAGCTGTAACTCATGTACAGACACTGGGAGTCCTACTCACCAACAGGTAAGCTGTGTGTAGCTGTAACTCATGTACAGACACTGGGAGTCCTACTCACCAACAGGTAAGCTGTGTGTAGCTGTAACTCATGTACAGACACTGGGAGTCCTACTCACCAACAGGTAAGCTGTGTGTAGCTGTAACTCATGTACAGACACTGGGAGTCCTGCTCACCAACAGGTGGGCCATGTGTCATGTGTAGCTGTAACACATGTACAGACACTGGGAGTCCTAATCACCAACAGGTGGGCCATGTGTCATGTTTAGCTGTAACACATGTACAGACAATGGGAGACCTACTCACCAACAGGTGGGCCATGTGCCATGTGTAGCTGTAACTCATGTTCAGACACTGGGAGTCCTACTCACCAACAGGTGGGCCGTGTGTCATCAGTATATCTGTGTCTTCTGGGATCTTGTTCCACTTGTCCAAACAGGCAGCTCCCCTCTTCAGGTTAAACGCCCATCCACAAAACTCTGGTTGCCTGTTTAGAATATATTAAACATCACTGACTATGCTAGATTTGACGAATATCAGAACACGAGGCCACTTATTTATTGAAACTTACCACGGGGAACCATAAATCTGGACTCCACAAACTCTGATGGAGGAATCTAACAAGTAAATACAGTTGGTCAACAATTCTCGGGAGGATGACACACCAGCTTCCTCTAAGTAATCTTCCACATTTTCTTTCTGTAGACAGAAAAAAAAAAATACAGATGTACATGGAAGATGTTCATAGAATGTACATGGAAGATGTTCACATAATGTACATGGCAGATGTTCATAGAATGTACATAGAAGATGATCATAGAATGTACATGGCAGATGTTCACAGAATGTACATGGCAGATGTTCATAGAATGTACATGAAAGATGTTCATAGAATGTACATGGCAGATGTTCATAGAATGTACATGGCAGATGTTCATGGAATGTACATGGAAGATGTTTATAGAATGTACATAGAGAATGTTCATAGAATGTACATGGCAGATGTTCATAGAATGTACATGGCAGATGTTTACAGAATGTACATGGCAGATGTTCATAGAATGTACATGAAAGATGTTCATAGAATGTACATGGCAGATGTTCATAGAATGTACATGGCAGATGTTCATGGAATGTACATGGAAGATGTTTATAGAATGTACATAGAGAATGTTCATAGAATGTACATGGCAGATGTTCATAGAATGTACATGGCAGATGTTCATAGAATGTACATGGCAGATGTTCATAGAATGTACATGGCAGATGTTCATAGAATATACATGGCAGATGTTCATAGAATGTACATGGAAGATGTTCACAGAATGTACATGGAAGATGTTCACAGAATGTACATGGCAGATGTTCACAGAATGTACATGGAAGATGTTCACAGAATGTACATGGCAGATGTTCATAGAATGTACATGGCAGATGTTCATAGAATGTACATGGGAAATGTTCACAGAATGTACATGGCAGATGTTCATAGAATGTACATGGGAAATGTTCACAGAATGTACATGGCAGATGTTCATAGAATGTACATGGGAAATGTTCACAGAATGTACATGGCAGATGTTCATAGAATGTACATGAAAGATGTTCACAGCATGTACATGGCAGATGTTCATAGAATGTACATGTAAGATGTTCACAGAATGTGCATGGCAGATGTTCATAGAATGTACATGGCAGATGTTCATAGAATGTACATGGCAAATGATCATAGAGTGTACATGGCAGATGATCATAGAATGTACATGGCAGATGTTCATAGAATGTACATGGAAGATGTTCATAGAATGTACATGGCAGATGTTCATGGAATGTACATGGAAGATGTTCATAGAATGTACATGGAAGATGTTTATAGAATGTACATGGCAGATGTTTACAGAATGTACATGACAGATGTTCATAGAATGTACATGAAAGATGTTCATAGAATGTACATGGCAGATGTTCATAGAATGTACATGGCAGATGTTCATGGAATGTACATGGAAGATGTTTATAGAATGTACATAGAGAATGTTCATAGAATGTACATGGCAGATGTTCATAGAATGTACATGGCAGATGTTCATAGAATGTACATGGCAGATGTTCATAGAATGTACATGGCAGATGTTCATGGAATGTACATGGAAGATGTTTATAGAGTGTACATAGAGAATGTTCATAGAATGTACATGGAAGATGTTCATAGAATGTGCATGGAAGATGTTTACAAAATGTACATGGCAGATGTTCATGGAATGTACACAGAGAATGTTCATGGAATGTGCACACAGAAGTGGCAACCTTTAAGTGTCTGTGGTCTACAGAGTCTGTCACTGCAAATCTTGAGCATAGACACAAGCTGGTAGGAGAAGGCTGAGAGCTATAAGCAAAGAGACATAAGCACTGTCAGAAACAAGGTCACATGAGACTGTCTGAGCAAGCACTGTGGAAGGGAAACTTTGGCTGTGACGCAGAAAAGGGGAAAAGGGGGGAGGGGGGAGCTCAGACTGTTCAGTTGGAAAGCTTTACCGACATGCTGCATGGAATATCATCAATAAAATACACCAGAGACAACAAACAGGATTCAAACAGAAAGGAGACAAAAACTGAAGACATAAATACAGGACACAAACAGTGAAATTATGCTGCATACAAAGATACAAAGTTTAGGCAAATGGAAACAAGACTAGTGGCTAGCTCAGAGACCTCGGCATCGCAGCAGTAACTCAGTCTGTTGAGTTTCTCCTTGACCATGTCATCATCAAGTGTAAGCTCATGGTTTCCAGCTATCACAACCTTCACCTTGTGGGGCAGGCGACCTGCAACAGCCAAAACTGTCAGTCAAAGTGAAGTAAAAAAAAAAAAATGAATATCTGCCTCTATTGTGACCACTGCAAGCCAACTTTCTTGCATTATGGATAATTTTAATAAAAATGGAAAGTAGACCAGCAAGCTTTATAATATAACAAACACAGATAGAAAGTAGACCAGCAAGCTTCATAATATAACAAACATAGATGGAAAGTAGACCAGCAAGCTTCATAATATAACAAACACAGATAGAAAGTAGACCAGCAAGCTTCATAATATAACAAACACAGATAGAAAGTAGACCAGCAAGCTTCATAATATAACAAACACAGATAGAAAGTAGACCAGCAAGCTTCATAATATAACAAACATAGATGGAAAGTAGACCAGCAAGCTTCATAATATATCAAACACAAACAGAAAGTAGACCAGCAAGCTTTATAATATAACAAACATAGATGGAAAGTAGACCAGCAAGCTTCATAATATAACAAACACAAACAGAAAGTAGACCAGCAAGCTTCATAATATAACAAACATAGATGGAAAGTAGACCAGCAAGCTTCATAATATAACAAACATAGATGGAAAGTAGACCAGCAAGCTTCATAATATAACAATCATAGATGGAAAGTAGACCAGCAAGCTTCATAATATAACAAACATAGATGGAAAGTAGACCAGCAAGCTTCATAATATAACAAACACAAACAGAAAGTAGTCCAGCAAGCTTCATAATATAACAAACACAAACAGAAAGTAGACCAGCAAGCTTCATAATATAACAAACACAGATGGAAAGTAGACCAGCAAGCTTCATAATATAACAAACACAAACAGAAAGTAGACCCGGAAGCTTCATAAGATAACAAACAGAAAGTAGACCAGCGAGCTTGATAATAAAACAAACACAAACGAAAAGTAGACTAGCGAGCTTCCCAATACAACAAACATAAACGGAAAGTAGACCAGTGAGCTTCATAATATATCAAACACAAACAGAACGTAGACCAGCGAGCTTCACAATATAACAAACGGAAAGTAGGCCAGCGAGCTTCACAATATAACAAACACAAAAGAAAAGTAGATCAACAAGATTCATAATATAACAAATACAAATGGAAAGTAGCCCAGTGAGCTTCAAAATATAACAAATACAAACAAAAAGTAGCACAGTAAGCCTCATAATATAACAAACACAAACGGAAAGTGAATGTTGCAGCTATAGAGCCTTCATCAGCACATTACATAAATCAATAAAATTACATAATGTTAAAAAATAAAGCACAGTACAGAAAGGTGTGACAAGCACAGAGAGAAAGGAGCAGTTTTAGAAGGTACACATGAGGTAGGTAAAATTAGTAGAAGCCAGGGAACTAGTAGGAACTTGGGCTCAGCTACATACTAGATGAACTGTCAATGATGCTTGCTCAGGCTGGTCTACATTAGAGGGGTGTCCTGGTGTAAGCGGAATTAATGGTTGCTGGTGCATTTATGATGGCAGTGAGCAACCGACCAAATGTTAAGAAGTCTGAAACCATGGGGCATTGAATGTACTCTCTCATGGGATCTAGGCTCAGTGTGTGGGGTTGGGGGGGGGGGTTAGGGCGAGTTGTATATGTTATGGGGTCGTTAAAATTACTCACATACAGTAATATAGAGGATGTGTGGTCACCAATAAGACTGTTGAAGCAATACAACGTCCCACCAACCTGACACCCCTGCGACTTAGACATACTCATCTGAAAAGTTGAGACGTTTGACTGAACATCCAATCACAGTGTACTGGGCCTGACTTTGTTACTGGGGACAGTGTGCTGGGCCTGACTTGGTTACTGAGGACAGTGTGCTGGGCCTGACTTGGTTACTGGGGACAGTGTGCTGGGCCTGACTTCGTTACTGGGGACAGTGTGCTGGGCCTGAATTGGTTACTGGGGACAGTGTGCTGGGCCTGAATTGGTTACTGGGGACAGTGTGCTGGGCCTGACTTGGTTACTGGGGACAGTGTGCTGGGCCTGACTGGTTACTGGGGGACAGTGTTGCTGGGCCTTACTGGGGACAGTGTGCTGGGCCTGAGTTTGTTACTGGGGACAGTGTGCTGGGCCTGAGTTTGTTACTGGGGACAGTGTGCTGGGCCTGAGTTTGTTACTGGGGACAGTGTGCTGGGCCTGAGTTTGTTACTGGGGACAGTGTTCTGGGCCTGACTTGGGTTACACAGTGTTCACTGAGTTTGTTACTGCGGGGACAGTGTGCTGGGCCTTAGTTTGTTATTTGTTTACTGGGGACAGTGTGCTGGCCCTGAGTTTGTTACTGGGACAGTGTGCTGGGCCTGAGTTGTTACTGGGGACCGTGTGCTGGGCCCTGAGTTTGTTGGGGACAGTGTGCTGGGCCTGAGTTTGTTACTGGGGAACTTTTTTTACTGGGGACAGTGTGCTGGGCCTGACTTTGTTACTGGGGACAGTGTGCTGGGCCTGAGTTTGTTACTGGGGACTGAAGCCTGTAATAGCGCCAGACATTTTCATGTGCATGCATGTTTGTGTGTACATTTGCACGCATATGTGTGTGCGTGCATGCATATGTGTGTGTTCACACATGTGCATGTCTGGGTTTGTGTGTGCGTGTATTCTGTGTGTGTGTGTGTGTGTGTGTGTGCATGCATGTGTGTGTGTGTGAGTGTGAACACAAAACACACATTACACTTAGTTTTTCTGTAAAAAGCTGGTTATCTAAAATAAAATCAATACGACCTAAGAAGTCATTAAACTTCTGGATCTCCTTGGGCAGGCCCAACTCTGTGAAGTCGCCAGCATGCAGGAGGACATCGCCAGAAGGCACAAAGTTGTCCAGTGTCTCCACTCTGCCGTGTGTGTCTGACAGACACACAAACCGGATCTTGTCTTCTGAGACTGGAGTATTGGGGTCCAAGCAGACCACTTGTGTGACAGTCTGTATGTGTAAACATTGATCAGTCTCTTGTCTGCTTGTCCTTACATGTGGTGACTTATTCTTTTTATAGCACGTATGATATTTTTTAGGTAACCACATGTCACAGACTATTAACCTCAAGTCACAGACAAGCAACCTCATGTCACAGACAACCAACCTCATGTCCAAGACTACAAACCACATGTCACAGATGAGCAACCTCATGTCATAGACACAACTTCATGTCACAGACTAGCAACCTAATATCACAGACAGACAACCAATCTTATGTCACAGACTAGCAACTTCATGTAACAGACAACCAACCTCATATCACAGACAACCAACGTCATTTCAGACAACCAACCTAATTTCACAGACTGGCAGCCTCATGTCAAACACACTGGCAACCTCATGTCACAGACTGGCAACCTCATGTCACAGACTGGCAACCTCATGTCACAGACTGGCAACCTCATGTCACAGATGGCAACATCATGCCACAGATTAGAACTGACTAAAGGTTGGTCACAAATACTCCAAACTTTGTGAGGCGCAATTTTAAAATTCAAGCTAGGAAACTTATAGCGACTGTAACACTGTCCTCTCCAGAAGATTTTGTTATAATATACAGCATAAATGCTGTCTGATTGCCTGCACTGATTGTTATAATATACAGCATAAATGCTGTCTGATTGTCTGCACTGATCTGATTGTCTGCACTGATTGTTATAATATACAGCATAAATGCTGTCTGATTGTCTGCCCTGATTGTTATAATATACAGCATAAATACTGTCTGATTGTCTGCACTGATCTGATTGTCTGCACTGATTGTTATAATATACAGCATAAATACTGTCTGATTGTCTGCCCTGATTGTTATAATATACAGCATAAATGCTGTCTGATTGTCTGCACTGATTGTTATAATATACAGCATAAATGCTGTCTGATTGTCTGCACTGATCTGATTGTCTGCACTGATTGTTATAATATACAGCATAAATGCTGTCTGATTGTCTGTCCTGATTGTTATAATATACAGCATAAATGCTGTCTGATTGTCTGCACTGATTGTTATAATATACAGCATATATACTGTCTGATTGTCAGCAATGATTTATATATACAACATAAATACTGTCTCATTGTCTGCACTGATTGTTATATACAGCATAAAGAACTGTCTGATTGTCTAACGTGATTGTTATACATACAACATAATTACTGTCTGATTGTCTGCACTGATTGTTTTATACAGCATAAATACTGTCTGATTGTCTGCACTGAATGTTATATACAGCATAAATTACTGTCTGATTGTCTAAACTGATTGTTATTTACAGCATAAATACTGTCTGATTGTCTGCACTGATTGTTATATACAGCATAAATACTGTCTGATTGTCTGCACTGAATGTTATTTACAGCATAAATACTGTCTGATTGTCTGCACTGATTGTTATATACAGCATAAATACTGTCTGATTGTCTGCACTGAATGTTATTTACAGCATAAATACTGTCTGATTGTCTGCACTGATTGTTATTTACAACATAATTACTGTCTGATTGTCTGCACTGATTGTTATTTACAGCATAAATACTGTCTGATTGTCTGCACTGATTGTTATATACAGCATAAATACTGTCTGATTGTCTGCACTGAATGTTATATACAGCATAAATACTGTCTGATTGTCTGCACTGATTGTTATATACAGCATAAATACTGTCTGATTGTCTGCACTAAATGTTATATACAGCATAAATTACTGTCTGATTGTCTAAACTGATTGTTTATACAACAAGGAGACGTAGCAAAAAGAACAAACGGAAAGGTAGTAAAAGTAGGTGCTGGTTTGAAAGTCACAATAGTTGTAAAGACATATCAGCCTTGAACTTAGGTCAAGTTTGAATGATAATGAATTCAAATATTTCCAGAACAATCAGAAAGTGTCTTACCATTCTGTAACCCTTGAACTACCAGCAGGTCAGGCATGTAGCCAAACAAGGATGCAAAAATGGGCACTGCTGAATACACACACTGCACATGATAAACTGGCGGTTGGATATTATAAAGAAGCTGGCGGTTAGATATAAAGAAGCTGGAAGTTAGATATTATAAAGAAGCTGGTGGTTAGATATTATAAAGAAGTTGGCGGTTAGATATAAAGAAGCTGGAAGTTAGATATTATAAAGAAGCTGGCGGTTGGATATTATAAAGAAGCTGGCGGTTAGATATTATAAAGAAGCTGGAAGTTAGATATTATAAAGAAGCTGGTGGTTGGATATTATAAAAAAGCTGGAAGTTAGATATTATAAAGAAGCTGGTGGTTGGATATTATAAAGAAGCTGGTGGTTGGATATTATAAAGAAGCTGGTGGTTAGATATTATAAAGAAGCTGGTGGTTAGATATTATAAAGAAGCTGGAAGTTAGATATTTTAAAGAAGCTGGAAGTTAGATATTATAAAGAAGCTGGAAGTTAGATATTATAAAGAAGCTGGTGGTTAGATATTATAAAGAAGCTGGTGGTTAGATATTATAAAGAAGCTGGTGGTTAGATATTATAAAGAAGCTGGTGGTTAGATATTATAAAGAAGCTGGTGGTTAGATATTATAAAGAAGCTGGTGGTTGAATATTATAAAGAAGCTGGCGGTTGAATATTATAAAGAAGTTGGTGGTTGGATATTATAAAGAAGCTGGCGGTTAGATATTATAAAGAAGCTGGAAGTTAGATATTATAAAGAAGCTGGTGGTTAGATATTATAAAGAAGCTGGAAGTTAGATATTATAAAGAAGCTGGTGGTTAGATATTATAAAGAATCTGGCGGTTAGATATTATAAAGAAGCTGGCGGTTAGATATTATAAAGAAGCTGGAAGTTAGATATTATAAAGAAGCTGGTGGTTAGATATTATAAAGAAGCTGGAAGTTAGATATTATAAAGAAGCTGGCGGTTGGATATTATAAAGAAGCTGGCGGTTAGATATTATAAAGAAGCTGGAAGTTAGATATTATAAAGAAGCTGGTGGTTAAATATTATAAAGAAGCTGGAAGTTAAAAAAGCTGGCGGTTAGATATTATAAAGAAGCTGGTGGTTAGATATTATAAAGAAGCTGGTGGTTAGATATTATAAAGAAGCTGGTGGTTGAATATTATAAAGAAGCTGGCGGTTAGATATTATAAAGAAGCTGGAAGTTAGATATTATAAAGAAGCTGGTGGTTAGATATTATAAAGAAGCTGGAAGTTAGATATTATAAAGAAGCTGGTGGTTAGATATTATAAAGAAGCTGGTGGTTAGATATTATAAAGAAGCTGGTGGTTGAATATTATAAAGAAGCTGGTGGTTAGATATTATAAAGAAGCTGGTGGTTGGATATTATATAGAAGCTGGAAGTTAGATATTATAAAGAAGCTGGAAGTTAGATATTATAAAGAATCTGGTGGTTAGATATTATAAAGAAGCTGGTGGTTAGATATTATATAGAAGCTGGAAGTTAGATATTATAAAGAAGCTGGTGGTTAGATATTATAAAGAAGCTGGTGGTTGGATATTATATAGAAGCTGGAAGTTAGATATTATAAAGAAGCTGGAAGTTAGATATTATAAAGAAGCTGGTGGTTAGATATTATAAAGAAGCTGGTGGTTGAATATTATAAAGAAGCTGGAAGTTAGATATTATAAAGAAGCTGGTGGTTGGATATTATAAAGAAGCTGGAAGTTAGATATTATAAAGAAGCTGGTGGTTAGATATTATAAAGAAGCTGGTGGTTAGATATTATAAAGAAGCTGGTGGTTAGATATTATAAAGAAGCTGGTGGTTGGATATTATAAAGAAGCTGGAAGTTAGATATTATAAAGAAGCTGGAAGTTAGATATTATAAAGAAGCTGGTGGTTAGATATTATAAAGAAGCTGGTGGTTAGATATTATAAAGAAGCTGGTGGTTAGATATTATAAAGAAGCTGGAAGTTAGATATTATAAAGAAGCTGGTGTTAGATATTATAAAGAAGCTGGTGGTTAGATATTATAAAGAAGCTGGAAGTTAGATATTATAAAGAAGCTGGTGGTTAGATATTATAAAGAAGCTGGAAGTTAGATATTATAAAGAAGCTGGAAGTTAGATATTATAAAGAAGCTGGAAGTTAGATATTATAAAGAAGCTGGTGGTTAGATATTATAAAGAAGCTGGTGGTTAGATATTATAAAGAAGCTGGTGGTTAGATATTATAAAGAAGCTGGTGGTTAGATATTATAAAGAAGCTGGTGGTTAGATATTATAAAGAAGCTGGTGGTTAGATATTATAAAGAAGCTGGAAGTTAGATATTATAAAGAAGCTGGAAGTTAGATATTATAAAGAAGCTGGTGGTTAGATATTATAAAGAAGCTGGAAGTTAGATATTATAAAGAAGCTGGAAGTTAGATATTATAAAGAAGCTGGTGGTTAGATATTATAAAGAAGCTGGTGGTTAGATATTATAAAGAAGCTGGTGGTTGGATATTATAAAGAAGCTGGAAGTTAGATATTATAAAGAAGCTGGAAGTTAGATATTATAAAGAAGCTGGTGGTTAGATATTATAAAGAAGCTGGTGGTTAGATATTATAAAGAAGCTGGTGGTTGAATATTATAAAGAAGCTGGTGGTTGGATATTATAAAGAAGCTGGTGGTTAGATATTATAAAGAAGCTGGTGGTTAAATATTATAAAGAAGCTGGCGGTTGGATATTATAAAGAAGAATTCACAGGGCGTCTGAACTCATGGACTCCTGGTGAAATGTGAAGCAGAAATGAGCAATAATTCTTCAAAACGAAAAGGCCAGTATCTGTTACTGATATTCCCACAGGTGCCACTTGGACTGGACTGCTGTTGTCTCGTCCACCATCAAAATATAGTCAGCAACTCTGAGGGAGATGTGCAGGTGTCCATCACTGACTGCACAGGGAAATGTTCACATCAATTAGGCAGCAATTTTACGTGAGACGTGCAGGTGTCCATCACTGACTGCACAGGGAAATGTTCACATCAATTAGGCAGCAATTTTACGTGAGACGTGCAGGTGTCCATCACTGACTGCACAGGAAAATGTTCACATCAACTAAGCAGCAGCTTTGAGTGAAAGTCTTGCTGTTTGTGCTGCAGTAAGGAACACTTGCAGACTAAGCAACTAGCAGACAGGTAAGCACACACAAGTGAATTAATGAAACACACACACACCAACATATAGATAACACAAAAGACAATTTTCTATAGACTGATCACCTGTATGGTTTCTTCCTGACCACATAACATCCAAGTGCTTTCTCTTTTATCTCCTTTCTCCATTTTCTCATTGACTCAGTAGTTTTCACTACCTCCAAATTGATGTGAAAACTGATGCCATGAGAAGGAGAACTCTTCGCTTGCTGCTAAAGATGGGGGTACAGAGCACTTATGAGAGTGTCCCAAGTGCTGTGATGTTGATTCCTAATTGAACATTCAGTCATAGACCACCAACAGCAAATTAGTGAGGATCCAGTCACTGCCCACCAACAGCACATTAGTGAGGATCCAGTCATTGACTAACAACAGCACATTAGTGAGGATCCAGTCATTGACTACCAACAGCACATTAGTGAGGATCCAGTCACTGACCACCAACAGCACATTAGTGAGGATCCAGTCACTGACCACCAACAGCACATTAGTGAGGATCCAGTCACTGACCACCAACAGCACATTAGTGAGGATCCAGTCACTGACCACCAACAGCACATTAGTGAGGATCCAGTCACTGACCACCAACAGCACATTAGTGAGGATCCAGTCACTGACTAACAACAGCACATTAGTGAGGATCCAGTCATTGACTACCAACAGCACATTAGTGAGGATCCAGTCATTGACCACCAACAGCACATTAGTGAGGATCCAGTCATTGACTACCAACAGCACATTAGTGAGGATCCAGTCATTGACCACCAACAGCACATTAGTGAGGATCCAGTCATTGACTACCAACAGCACATTAGTCAGGATCCAGTCATTGACTACCAACAGAACATTAGTGAGGATCCAGTCATTGACTACCAACAGCACATTAGTGAGGATCCAGTCACTGACTACCAACAGCACATTAGTGAGGGTCCAGGCACTGCCCACCAACAGCACATTAGTGAGGATCCAGTCATTGACTACCAACAGCACATTAGTGAGGATCCAGTCATTGACCACCAACAGCACATTAGTGAGGATCCAGTCATTGACTACCAACAGCACATTAGTGAGGATCCAGTCATTGACCACCAACAGCACATTAGTGAGGATCCAGTCATTGACCACCAACAGCACATTAGTGAGGATCCAGTCATTGACTACCAACAGCACATTAGTGAGGATCCAGTCATTGACCACCAACAGCACATTAGTGAGGATCCAGTCATTGACTACCAACAGCACATTAGTGAGGATCCAGTCACTGACTACCAACAGCACATTAGTGAGGGTCCAGGCACTGCCCACCAACAGCACATTAGTGAGGATCCAGTCATTGACTACCAACAGCACATTAGTGAGGATCCAGTCATTGACTACCAACAGCACATTAGTGAGGATCCAGTCACTGACTACCAACAGCACATTAGTGAGGATCCAGTCATTGACTACCAACAGCACATTAGTGAGGATCCAGTCACTGACCACCAACAGCACATTAGTGAGGATCCAGTCACTGACCACCAACAGCACATTAGTGAGGATCCAGTCACTGACTACCAACAGCACATTAGTTAACCAGTGAATAGTCAAGCAGTGGTTACCAATAGTAGTTTTTATATAACAATTTCCTGTTCATCCCTCAGGGTTATAACTGGGATATATCCTTCTGAATAAAAAAAAAGGATGCTTTATTTCAGTTTTTAAATAAACATTTGATATGATTGTGCTGGCCTGCCCTAGTACCACCGCCTTTATATCATATGGGCACTTAATTTCTGGTCATAATCTCTCAACACTTCCATTGCAAGGACTAGTCAAGTTGAAATAAAGGAAGTCAAATAGCTAAATAAAGGACGTCAAATACCTAAATAAAGTCCACTGACTTCATCAAGAACGCTTCAATCCTCAATCGTTCTGTTTCATTACTGAAAGATTAGCAACTCTATCCACTTAACCACTCTAGTGGTCTGTTGTTGGATACGATCTTCTCTAAGTATTATTTATTATTAATTATTACTTCTACAGGGCTCACCTGTGAACAAAAGAGCCCCGGACTGACTCTCTAGTTATCCCAGATGAGTGAAGCCAGCTCCACACACAGATGTCTGATCTGATCATGTCCCGGTATAACAGTGTATAAATAATGATGACTCAGTTCCCACATTTATCCCCTCAGTCAGACACTGGATCCTGTCCCCGCCCAACCCGGTCCTTGTGTTGAGTCATGTTTATCTTTAGGCGCTTCGCTTCGTAATGCCGGGATGTCACGTTCGATCCCAGCTGCGGGCAATGCGCCGTGCGTTGGTTTCGACAGTGGTATCAAGAAAGCCGACCGTCCAGGTGGCATACTCCTGGATGTAAATTGCCTAGAGAAACCACACTACAGCCAGGGGCTGTTATGGTTGGTTCTGCAACGTCCGGTAAAGGATACACAACTAACTTTTTTTAAAATCTTTAGGCGAACTACTGAACGTAAATTTGCCTAGAGAAACCACACAACAGCCTGGTACTACTGTGGTCGGTTCTGCAACGTCCTGTAAAGGATAGGCAACTAACCTTATCTTCAGGCGACACCTCCGCGGGGAGGGGGTGGGTGACTGGGGCTGTGCCTTTTGTTGTGGTGTTCCCCGATAAAGATTTCTGTCGTAAGATTCGACTATTTTTGTTCATGTTTGTTCCGCCCTTCGCGCATCACGCGAGATTTAGGGACATCACATAATATTAGGAGGGGGGCGGTTAGGGTTAGTCTTAAATGAATGGCGACCACTACTGACCCTACCTCCCGCCCCGCCCCCCCCCATAATATGGAATCTACCTAAATCTCGCGTGATGTGGTCGCTAAACAGAAAAGAACCATCTTCCCAGATGTAGTCACAGTTGAATGACCAGACCTGGTCGACCTGCTGTAGCTTGGGATATTTGCAGTGGTTCCCTTGTTCTATGAATAGCAATACTATCATCGAGTGCCTTGCCGACTACCCTTGGCGATCATAAAACCTCACAACCTGCGATGCCCTCCAGCAGCGCGTAGGCGTATCACTTCTGGCGCCGCCTCCATGACAAAAGTATACATTGACAAACATTTGGCAGAACAGTCAAAGAAGCCAACGGCGCCTTCTCCATGACAACCAGCAGCATGACGATGGAGGTGATGGCAGTGACGCAAGCGCTTGCCTGGCTTGAAACACAAAAATACACCCGCGTGTGTATACTCAGTGATTCAATGAGTATGATCCGGAGGGTTCAAGCAGGCTCAGTGCGAAGACAATGGCTTGAATCATTACAGAAGTCCACTGTGCGTGGAGTCACCTTTATTTTTGTTCCGGGACACGCAGGCGTCGATGGAAATGAAAGAGCTGACAGGTTGGCTGGATCCGCTATCACTACCGACGGTCAGCCTATGGATCATGCTGATATTATCAATGCCCTCCGAGAAATGGGAAGGATAGAGGACTTTGGTGGCAGTGAATCCACATCACTCGCCAGAATGGCAGACTTGGGAATTAAGATCGGCACAGCAAAAAACGAGACGCACACCAGACACGCTAGAAGACTTGTTAATCAACATAGAACTGGTACTATTAGTCATCGGACGTTGGGGTTCATACTGAGGGGAGGATCTGAGCACCTATGGACATGTCCGGAGTGCAATGAGAATAACCCAACTAACTAACTAACTAACTAACTAACTAACTGGTACAGTATATCCCAATGACAGTCCAGGGTGGGAGAGGGATATTATTTCTGTGAAATAATAAAACAACGACTTGTTCCTCTCAAATAGCAACTTGCTGAATCGGGCTTCACACCGGAGTTGAAAATCTGTTTCATGTGCTACACCGTCAAGAACACACCGTCTACGTCTTCACTGGGACTCCGGACATAACTTCAGTGAATATGTGTTTTCCCAAGGTCTTAGGCAACCCCCGCGAAAGTGTCGTTCGACCCAGGAAAGGGTCGCAACCCACAGGCTTAAAACCGCTGTACTTGAGTATTATTTCGCTATTTGGACATCCTTCGCTCTAATCCAGACACCAAGATGATCTTCAGTGAAAAGCCGAGATTAGTTTATAGACGAGACCACAACCTTAAAGACATAATTGTCAGAAGCCGACTCCCGCCGATCCACTCAGCACTTCCTTTGGGACTAGGGAATGCTCCCGCACTACGTGCAGGATATGTCCTTTCGTTGTCCAGACCTCATCAGTCATATTCCTTTTTGGTTCTTTCCAAATTAGGCAAGCTTTTACTTGTAAATACTGAAACATAATTTATGCCATGATCTTAAAAGATGCAACAAGGCATACATTGGAGATCTGGGCAAAAAGCTAGCTGATCGGTTCCGGGAACATCTCTCCGATTCTTCTTCTTATTCTTTGCGTTCACCAGCTGTAAACTCTGGTGGAAAGTTCTGGTTGCTCGTCCACTACTGAACTGCAGTCCTGCTCCAGAACCTGAGTGTTGCGTGTGCATCAGTTTTACAGATCTCATTCTCTTGAATACAGATTGCTGGTTCCTTGCCTCTCCGGCAGATGCACTCCGACTTCAAAGGAGGCTCCCCAATTAGTCGACTCTTACGACATGCTTTTGGGGAGGCAGTGGGTCTATTCTTGTTTTCCCCACAATGGGGCCCCGGAACCCACACGGGGATCTCCGATTCTGAAAGGAAGACACTTAAACCAACCCGTCTCCATTTTAACATCTCTGATCACAGAGGCAAAGATGATATATCAGTCACCCTGATAAAATCAGGCCCCGGTGATCATAAAAAGAATTCCAGTGAAATGTGACTAAATGGGAAAGCAAAAAAAAAAAAAACCTGCAAAATTTTCAGGTGATCATACCACGCTTTGGAAATCGCCTCATCCATAGTTTAGGTATTATAAGCACAGCAGGTACCAATCTCCAACATATTTTCTTCTAAACGGTTTTACTATTGTCACATTATTATTTTTAATTTGTTTGTTATTTTTTATGCTTTTCTTAAATTTACATATTATTTTTTTTCTATCTTTCATTGGTGCCAGTTAAAGATCATTATCATTTGTATTTCTACTACTCTTTTATTCCTACTATTATCATGACATATAATCACTATTACTTTCATTGCTTTTTTTAGGGGATGAAGGGGGGGGGGGGGGAGAAACTTCCTTTATTCTGTTTTGTTTGATTCATACCAAATCACTTTTTTGTAACAGTTTCTCACGTGACCCCCTGGTGGGCGCTGGTGGTTGAAGTACTCTTTCCTTTGTTATTGTTGTGTAGTTGGTAGTTCCTGTCGAGAAAGGACTCGTCCCTAACGTCGATTTGTGTCTTTTGTGCATGTTGTTCTGCTTCCCCATTTCGTTAAGCTTTTTAGTCGCAGCTAACTGGACTAATTTCTTCTCCCAGTAAACTTTATGGTGGGAATAACTAAATGTTATTACTTTACAGTAACACAAGAAAATTAGTAGGTCAATATAGTCAGCCAACTGGATCAATCAAAAATAGTCAAGGAAAGGTACTTACTAACACTAAAGATCAAATGGACAGATGGGTTGAATATTTTGAAATGCTTCTGGAGGTTCCACCAGATATCCAGCCTTTAGAAATGGAA